TGCTCATGCTTTTTCACTTTACATAAGGAAACAGAGTATTTCCTAGTCATCTGTGGAAGGGGCTCTCAAAGTGTGGTCCCGCACTGTTGGCGTTGCCTGTATGCCTGTGAGGAATGCACATCCATGGGCTGCCCAACCTGGACGGGGACCCAGGCAGGGCCCTGAACCTGTGCCAGCCAGCTCTCTGGGGGCCCTATGCATGTTCATGTCAGAGAACCAACAGTCTGTGGAAACCGTGTCACATTCAGTGCCCTTGTGTCCTTGGACAGCTCTGATGCCCATCCCATCGGTCAGAGCTTCTGGAGCAGAAGCCACATCCCTATCCCCTCCCCGAGCTCTGCAGCTCATTCCCCCTCTGCCCAAGGGCCTCTCTGACCTCCCTGAAACGGAGTGCTCTTTGGCTGTTATTTACTCAGTCAGATTAGGCCCGGCCCGCTGCCAGTGGGTTCCTCAGCCACCTCACGGTAGCATGAGGTCTGCTCCCACCTCTGAAGACAGCTCTGGAAGGCCACCCCTCAGGGGCTGCTGTCCAGACCCGTGCTCCTGCAGCTGCTGGACTGCACACACTTGTCTTATAACCCTGCTTGTTTCTCCAGGGGTTCCTTAAGGGGTTCTTAATTTAAACCAACATTTTAAAGATGGCAGACACAACATTTTTAAACAAATGAAGATTTCCTACATGCTGAGAGTATTTCACAATAAGGAAAAGAAGGAAATATGGAAAACCTTATTTTAAAAAATATCAACACATGATAGGGGCGCCTGAGTGGCTCAATCGATTGGGCGTCCGACTTCGGCTCAGGTCGTGATCTCACAGTCCGTGAGTTTGAGCCCCGCGTCGGGCTCTGTGCTGACAGCTCAGAGCCTGGAGCCTGCTTCGGATTCTGTGTCTCCCTCTCTCTCTACTCCTCCCCTGCTCATGCTCTGTCTCTCTCTGTCTCAAAAATAAATAAAAAACATTTTTAAAAAAGTTAAAAAAAAATCAATACATGATCACCTTTTTAATGAGATTATCAACCTACTAGAAGTTTATATACTCCTGCCTCAAAAAATGCTGTTTTGGAAAAGACAAAGTCTTGGAGGGCTCTGAGGACAGTTTAGGCACCGGAATGGGGGTCACCCGTGCTTATGCTCACCTGTGCACAAAGTTGCAGGTGCCATCAATGGGGTCGACGATCCAGGTGGGGCTGGGGGTGAGCACACACTTGGCCCCGGCGGCTGCAGCCTCTTCAGCAATGAACCTGTGGTGGACAGGAGCTCAGCCTGAGAAAACTCGCCAAGAACTCAAGACAAAGCGCTTCAAACTGCTTCCGGTCCCATTAAAGACAAAGCAGACACAGCAGAGAGATTCCATTATGGTTTCTCTGGGTCAATCAGAAGCAGAGTCTACAAGAGACCATCTGCTTTTCTGTCTGCTAGCCTACTTAGCAGGACTTAGAAAACACGAAGTGACACCTCAACATAGGAGTTTTGGGAAAGCATCAAGGAGCGTGAGTGGGTCAGGTGGAGAAATACGAGAGAAGAACACCGTTCTTCTCACAAAGCTAAACTCTGCTCTAACTTTAGTCTGGAGGAGAAAAGGCTGAAGACAAAGGATCGAGAAGAGAAGGTGAAATCCTGGCCAGGGAGCAGGACCCAGGACTCAGGCTTTAGCTCTCCCACCAGTAATGCTGTGGCCGGCGTGGACTGCTTCACTGGACCCAAGACAGTGAATGTCACCCACAGCTGACACCTCCCAGGTCTGTACCCAGCCTGGCCTCCTCTGAGCTGCAGAGAAGGTGACAACTGTGTCCACCCACCATTCGGGCTCCACAGCAGCTGCCATTTCTCCTCAGAGGCCCTTTCCATCCTGGTCTCTGGCCCAGGAGCCATGGGTGGGCCACACCTTCTCCTTCATGCTCTGCGACCCACGCACCCTGTAAGAACACGGGCAGCCCAGGACTGAGGCTGTGTACCCCCTGCGCTGGCTAGAGTGGGCCCCTGTCCCCAGCTCCCTCCTCTATAATTAGTCCTCGGTAGACAGGCCCTCCTGAGCCATCCTCACTTGAGCAAGCCACCTATTTCCTGTTAGGAACCTGCACAAGAGAAACACATCTCAACATTTAGCCTGGTTGTCCCTCCTCACATCTAGCTCAACAAAAGGCACCGTCAGTACCCAGCTGCTCAGGCCAAGAACCAGGGAAGGCACCCTTACTTCTTCCCTTTGTCCTCCTTGCCCTCCATCCATCCACACAGGCTCGGCACAGCATGTGGGGGCATTTGGGCACTGGTTTATGCACCACAGACGCCACCTCTGAGCCGGTGTCCCTGCAGGGCCAGCCTCTGCTTATGCCTCCTGGAGCCGCTCTCAAGAGTAAAGAACATACCCTCTCTAAAGCTTACACACCAGGGCTTGGTGCACAGAGTGCTTGGTATGTGTCTCCAACTGTCATGTAACAAGCCCAGGTTCACCAGGAGCGGGGCCTTTGCCCTGTGTTCGGCCTTGTCGCCAGGGCCTGGTCCGCAGCAGGCGCTGAGCAAACACCTGTTCTGTGTGGGAACACAAGGCCTTGTGGAGGGTTTTGCTATCGGCTTCTCATGCTATGCACATGTCCGTACTAGAGAAAAAGGGGGCCTGAAGACAGTATGTTTTTATCAAGAAGGATAAATGAAGGGAAAACAAGAAACATTTCATGTCCTCCTGCGGCATCTGGTATGTTGTCAGTCGTGGTCTTCAGGCAGCAGAGCAGGAGAGCAGCTTGGCCTCTAAGTGCTCCCGGAAACCACTTGCTCCAGAGGAGCTGTGCGTCCGCCCTAATATGTGGCAATGAACTTGCGGCTGAGATGGACATCATACTGTAAATAAAAAGGCGGAGCTGGAAAGCTCTGTAACTGCTCTGCCCAACACGGTACCAACTGGCTACATGTGACTGTTTAAATTTAAATAATTTCAATTAAATGCTAGTTCACAAAATTAAAAAGTCAGTTCTTTACTCTCACTAGCCACATTTCAAGTGTTGTCCTCATCCGTAACACTCAAGGAAGAACAAGTGCTGTGCATTCTGAAGTCATGGTTCCGTCAGAACAGCAGTGACACACGCCTTGTAATTCGTACGGTCCCCTGACAACTCTGGGAGGATCATTTTCCATTTTACAGATTATGAAACTCATGCTCTACATGCACGCACAGAGTCATCTACCTCCTCTATTGGATAAAGCATCTGAAACCTGTCAGTGTGTATGACGAATGACTGTGTGTCATTTTCAGGTTAGGGTTTCCCTCCCCCCAGCTGTTGTCCCCTGGAGAAACCCACGTGGGAGAGGCAGGGCGCTGGGGTGGGGAAGCACTGAGTGAGACACCTGAGGAACCCATAACCCACACCCTGAAAAATGGTCACAGTGCACAGAAAACTTGAGTGGGCACAGTCTGAGCCCAGAGGCTTACAATCTAGAGAGGCAGGGGATGCAAGTTCCTTGCTTTTGTTTGCTCCTGGTCCCCTCCTCCTGCTGGGAGCTGCCCTCCCTACCATCACCCCCCTCCACAGGATTTTTGGGTCACTGGATCATGTGATCCAGGCAGGCAGGTCTAGATGGTAGACATGGCATGGTGAAAGTCAACGCTGGAGGAGCCAAGCCCGGCAGAGTGGGGCCGGGCAGTGAAGACTGCGCCCTGACCACAGCAGGATGGCAGGTGATGTGCAAACAGAGTCACGGTCAGGCATAGCATTAGCTCTGCCAGTTTTCTTAGCCAAAGAGTTAAGGAATTAAATCCCTTTTCAATGCCTTTTTTCTACAGCTACATGATTTTCCTCCCATGTAATGGCTTGTGATTATGGTCTTGAGGAAAAGGGTCTACACCCCAAAAACACACATATAGGGACCAACTGCCAAATCTTCAATTGGGCACAAGGATCATAAAGCAGTGAGAAGGCCAAGATAGAAATGGCAATGACTCACATCCAAACATAAATTCCCAGAAACTGAGGAGAAATGTGGAATTTTCTTCCTTTTTAAACTTAATTTAAGCAGGAAGTGGGTACCTTCTAGAGTTGGAGGGGCAATTGCCGGGGTCTCCCAGGAAGGAAGAGGAGAGAGCATCTCTGCAGGACTGGCAGCTAACACATGAGTCAGGGAGCACAACCTGCAGTGCACCAATGGGGCTTCTTAGGACAGGCAGGGACAGGAGGTGGGATGGACATGGTCTAGGGGGGGTCACCAAGCAGCCTGTTGAAAGAAGCACCCACAATGCTTCTGTTGACACAGCTTTTGTTCTGCACAGCAGTTCTGGTAGGAATCGCTCAAAGTAATCATTCTGAGCCCTAGACTTTTGCAGTTGATTATTCATGCCTGAGAGTTCTCTTCTTCTCTACTCAGCTGCCCGAGTGACAGAGGTGCAAGGAGTGCCTGTCACCTCCCTACTTGCTTTGTGCCTGCAGGTGGCACTTTGGGGCAGGGCCTTTGATGATGTCCACTCTTCTGAGGCATCCAAAATACCTCCCTGGTATGTAAGGAGAGCTGTAGTTTATTCACTGAAACCTGATTTTCCTCATTTGGGAAGCTAGTAGTTCCATTCTGTAGTACCTACAGAATGGGAGAGAACATTCTTCAGCTCTCCACAGGGACATCAAGCTGGACACATGGAGGTGTGAAATTATGGAGATCTTAGTAAAAGCACTGGGACAGCTACATAAAATCCATAACATAAGTAGGAAAAAAACAATCTACCTAAAATTTAGGGAGCTCCTGGGCCTTTTCATAAGCCAGCTAATGTACAAGACGAAAACAGCACCTGGGGTAAGCTTCAAAGCTTCATAACAGATTAGAATGACACATTCTGCTGCATAATTCAACTACCGTTTTTTTCTTATAGTCCTAACAAACCCTTCTTATAATTTTGATGGCCAAGGGCATCTAGGCCCTTTTCCCCTGGCTAGTTTGTCTACTCTGTGACAAGATCAGGGTCATCCTTTGGTCGAATAGGGAGCCAATTAATGCTCCCAGGCCTCGCCAGCATCGTAGCAGGCTCTGCTGCCCGAGGACAATGGGCACCCAGGGCAAAACACGGTGGGAAAGCGGTGGGGAGCGAGTGTCTAGCCAGTGGTGGCCAGGAATTTACATTTTCCAAGTCTAGAGAATACTGGGCATGCTGCAGGGCACAGGAGTCACCACGATGGATGAGGCCATGTCCCGCCAAGGGGAGCCCATTCTGGGACAGAGGAGGCAGCTGGGTGCACTGAGCAGCTCAAGCTGCTCTCCTCCCTTCGCCTGTGCCAACCCAGACACAAGGGATAAGGACGAGGTGTATATAAATATGGTTCAGTGATGCTACTAAAGATTTCCAAAGTTGTGGAGCTTGGATCTGACTCAAAAATTATTCACTAAAAACAGGTTTAGGCACCCAACAAAGGCAGGCCTGGATGGGGACTGGGCTAATGTGGTCAATGCCAATACTGTGCTTTCTCTGTCAACCTTAACCTGCTGGTTTGCTTTCTGTCATTACCACCATACGATGACCTTGGCTGGGTGCCCCATCCTAGATGAGAAGGCTGGGACCCTGAGAACTGGCTGGGGTGATTTGCCAAAGCCACGGGCAGTAGCAAATTTCAATCTTACAGTTTTTTGGCTCAGCATACTCCTGTCTTCCAGATAAGGGACCAGACTCTGGATTTCACAAATGAGTACAATAAAATAATAAAACCACCGAGTCTACACCAGGTAGACTTATTTTATTAAAAACAAAACAGGTGCAATATATCTTTAATATTGTTTCACAAAAGACATAAAATGGGGATGAGCATAAGCTCAGAATAACAGGGAGTCCTTCCTAAATAAGAATCATAGGCAACTTTATGCTAATTGATTTAAGGGATATATTTAAATGCTCTGAATGCAGAAAAATTACAATATGCTTTTTTATAATGTGTATGCCATTTTTTCTCATTGCAAATTTATCTGTGATCTAAAATATAACTAAGTGTTCCCAAATTATTTTAAATCCTAGTCACTGGCAAAAAAGCAAAAAAACAAAACAAAACAAAAAAAACCCCACACCTAACTTGGCATAGATATGTTGAGAAATGATTTCATCTATTTGAGTTCTCTAGGCAAACTGAGCAGAGTAGAAGCAGGACATCCAGGCTTCCCCCAGTCCTGGTGGTGCCCTCAGAGCTGAGAAGGAAGCGGCAAAACGCCGGGGCTTACCACTGGGCAGCCACATCTCTTCCCTCACAGGCTGGCTGGCACCAGCTCGGGGCAGTTTGGGAACCATCGCTATAAATCACGGATTCCTGGGCAGATGTGTGCATCTGCACCTCCCAGGGCTTTTTAGAGATGGAGGCCGGGCATTAGCAGGTTGGAGAAGCTCCCAGGTGGGCCTGGAGTACACCCTAGGTAGGGTCCACTGCCCTGGGTCAATGCTTTTCCAAAGGGGCTTCAGAGTCTGGTGATCTCCAGGCAACCCCAGGCTGCAGGGTCAAGTGGGGCGGGGGAGGGTGGTGGGGGCGGAAGGAGGTACAATCACTCATATAACACACTGACTTTTCTCCTGGGATATGCAGCAATGAAGATTTAAATATACCTTGTACAAATGGAATCCATGCCCCATATTGACATGAATCCACAAGAGTGGACCCAAACCACTCAGCAATTGCTGCCAACACATACAATAGGTATGTGATTTCAGAATTCAGTTTGGCAAGAGTATTCTAACTGAAATACGCCAGAAGCCAAGCCCTGATAACGTCAATATGTCTGGTCTTGCAGTGACCTCCAGGCCTTTACCACATAACCAAGCCAGCCCTCACTTCTGCCACGGCCACCTGGACCAATACCACAGAAACTTCAAGCACCAAAACAGTTCCTCAACCACAAACAGTTGGTTACTGCAGCCTTTTTCCTCTCAAAGAATAAAAGCAACCTATAGAATTCTTTTGGCATTGTCATTTACCTTATATTTCAAAATGTTAAAAGAAAATCATAAACATTTTAGAGCTTAAAAATATTATAACAGATGTTAGGAATCCTGACTTCACACTGAATAAGGAAATAGGAAATAACAGACGGTCACACATAAAGGGTGTCAACAAAACAAACGTCACCCACTGGCAGAGAGAATTTCGAAAGGAGAGTTGGTGACCCTGAGATGACCTAACCAGCTAGGAGGAAACAACAGGGAAAAAAGGAGGTATGTTTGAAGGCTGGCTTGTCCCTTCTTTCATTTAATCACTCACAGGGGAAAAACTCTGTTGCACCCACCCTGTGCCAGATGGATGCTCAGGGAGATCACCTTCCAGGTCTCTGCTGTGTAAGCCCATCAAACATGGAACCTTACCACAATCACAGTTATCCACAACCAGAAATCCAAGAGCTCCTATTCTAGTCTCCTCTGTGAGAAGAAAGACCCCTCTCATCTAAGGCAGTGGTTTTCCAACTCTCTTCTGCAGAACTCCAGAGGTGAAGGAGGGCCTGAGAAGCCCCACTCAGAGTTCAAGGGGAGTCTTCCTCTGAGGTCTAGGGTTCCCCTGGAGCTAGATGCGAAATGCCGCATACATATTTGAATTTTTCTGAGGAAAAAATTAGTGGTTTGCATTGGATTCTCCACATGGTGATGCCAGAAAGGTTAAGAACTTCTGCTCTAGAGAAGAGGGCAGAGTCCTCATAAGGGCCTTCTCGGGTGGAGAGCAGCCTTCCAGGTCTGCTGGTCTGGGTTGGCACAGGAGGGTGCATCACTGAGGACCGGCAGGGGCGCACCATCAGCCAGTGGACCTGGGGCCGCGTCCGTCTTGGAAAGTCTGCATGGGGTCACCAAGCAGACACAAGTCCCTCCAGAAATATGCCAAGTGACTTAGCCGAGGACAGCAGAGACTTCCCCTGGGTGCGTTATAGGAAGTGGACCTTTCTCGGTATTTGTAAGGTAACATATTGACATGAGGGTCGTCAAGATGACAGTAAGATGAATGAAAACAACTGTGTGTTTACCACGCTGTCTTAGAGGCAGACTGTAAGGCTCCCTGCTTCACATCTGCTCCCAGCAACCAGCGGCCTGGCACCCCAAGTCAGATGCTGGCAGCATGCTACTAGGGTGTCTTCCCAATGAACACACCTACCTGTGCGAAGGAAACCTCTTTTGCAGCTCGGAAATAATTAAACCTTCCACAAGGTGATCCGTTTCTGTCACGAGGTCTGCAGCTGATGTTTTTGTTGAGACGCGTTTTTCCTCAGAAAGGGCTTTCCTGATGATCTGAAATGAAAGTACATAAAAGTACAGGAGGTGGTTAAACCGACGAGCTCCCTCGTCTCGCAGAGACACTCACGCCTTCTGTGGCCAACTCTGAACAAAAGAGGTGGCGGGTGTGGGTCTGAGGGCCACCAGCTGCTTCTAACATGGGCAGGCCGCTGGGGTTCAACATCACACACAAGATCTTCTGCTGGGCGTTCAGTGAACCTAACTACCCGCTATTCCTGCACCAGAAGGTGGGCTCACTGGTTGAAGCTATCCTGCCCAGCCTGTGAGCAATTCTTTGAAGGAAAAGACACAGTGGCTCTGAAGAGCGTGAAGTTTCAACCCGTGGAAGATTATGTAACTAACACCTCTGCCCCAGAGAGTCCCGGGAATTTGATTTCAGTGTAAAAATGTATTTTCCCTAATTCACTTTACACATCACATGGAATGGACTATGCTCTTGAATCCAGATTACAAACGTTCCAACAAGGAGACCCGGGAGAGGTTAAGAGGCACTTCACCAACAGGAAGTCCGGCTCTCCCTGCTGCTCTGGTCAGGGCGCTACTGGCCGTCCAAGGGGGACGTGCACATGGGCTGGCTTAGGTGCCAGGACCTCACTGATCCCCAGTTCTGGGCTCGCAGGCAGGCTCTGTGGATGTGCAAGCCCCAGCACATCCGGTCCAAACCCGCTGCACTAAATGCAGAGGCAAGGTGCAGAGGGAGCCTCCCGGCACCGCCTCGTGCCTGGCCCAATCTGGCTCTAGAAACCCCTGGAGGGCCCAAACAGGAAGGTGTGCGGAGTGGTTAATCCGTCACAGGACACTTGGGAAGGATCAGGTCTACTCTGTGAAATAAATAAAAAGCACTCCTTCTCCAGCCCAGGGCTTTCTTTTCATTTTTGTCTGTTGTAACAGCTCAGTGTCTCCTTCCGCACAATGACAAAGTCAGGACACCTAAAAATGACTTCAGACCTTTCCTCCCAAACTGGCTACCATCCCAAGATCCTGCATTTCTTTCCAAAGCACAACCAATCACACAGCTACCCAGACTCGACATCCTTTGACTTATCCTTCTACCTTTATGTTTCCTGAGTGCCTCTTTCATGGCCAGCCTGTGCTATGTACTAACGGTGCTGAAAGGCAGGAGGGCAGGAAAAGATGACCCCCAAGTCTGCAGAGAGGAAGAGGACCTCAGATGGGATTTTAAAGAATAAGCAGGAGACCCTGAGACATTGAGCAATCCTCAAATTACTGCCCTCATCCTAGAGCCGGACAAAACAGTGCTGAGCCTAGACAGGTTTTGTTCAGTTTTTCATCTTGGTTGCAAACGGATACATATTACAGAAAATGTGGAGTGTAATTTTGTGAATAATGTGAACGACAAAGCATATAGCACTCACGTATAATCCATGAACATTTCTATGCCAGTCCCCAGACTGTCTGCCACTTGGGGCCTTCTATTTGCAATATTCTGCTTAGCACTGTCAGGTTGATCTCCTTAAAACATCAATGTGCACACAGCAAGTTCCTACCAGACAAATCTCCACAGGTTCCTTGTTTTTAAATTTGAAACTTCTCAATCTAGCTCATGCAGCATCTGCCCTTGTCCTCCAGGGATCCCTAAATTTTGGGCTAGTCTAGACCTCCTATTTGTAGGTCATTTGGCAGTGAGCTTGCATCTTGTATGGAAAGTCAGTGTGGAGCATGTGGGGGGGGGGGGTATGGTGTGTGTTTATATGTGCATGTGTGTGATTTGGTTCATATGTGCACGTAGGCAACATCTGTGTGGTTTATACACGGGCAATATGTGTGGTTTATGTATTTGTGTATGTGATACGTGTGTGCTTTATGTGTGCATGTGATGTGTGTGTGGTTCACGTGTATATGATGTATGTGGTATGTGTGGGAGGTGTGAAGGGAGTGTGTGTGGTTACGTGTGGGGTATGCATGCATGCAGAGGGAAGGGGAGAGGTGTGGGGAGGTGTGGGGTATGTATGCAAGCAGAGGCAAGGGGAGAGGTGTGGGGAGGTGTGAAGGGAGTGCATGTGGTTATGTGTGGGGTATGTATGCAAGCAGAGGAAAGGGGAGAGGAAGACTAGAGGACACACCACCAAAGCCTCTCAAACTTCATTGTGCATGAGTCAGTCATCTGGGGTCTTGCTGAAGTGAAAACTTTGGTGGTTAAGTAGGTGTGGGGTTTGAGGTCTGATGTTCACATTTCTGACAAGTTCCATGGTGACACCGATGCTGGGGGCCACACTGGAGTAGTTGGGCTGAGAGCAGGTTCTCAAACCCCACAAGGAGGAAGAGTCCCCGGGGGTTGGATGTTCTGACCCAGCACCACACAGAAGTCCTGGGACCTCCACCCTGAGAGGACACAGGCTTCCGGCTTCACGGTACGCTTGCCCCTACCCGCACATGTAGTAAGCATTTGTACAGTTCAAGATTATGATTCCAACCATGCACCCTGCAGCCTCTGTGCTGAAGCCAGAGCGGTTTTTAAACATATGTCAGCTCCCATCACTTTAATGCTTAGAACTACGCAAAGACTGCCATGGCTTTCAGGAAAAACCCAGACCTACAGATGTCACCTCCCATAGGCCACTCCCAGTCTCGCCATCCTTCTGCCACTCTGGTTTTCTGGCTGGTCCTAACCAAATCTCTTTCTAGTCCAGGGACTTTATATCTTCTAACCTATCCAGAACTTCTTGCCATCTGAAATCATCTCACTTGTCCCTTTGTTGATGGTATGTCTCCCCCAGGAGAGCAGAGGCACTTTGGTTCCCTGCCACACCCCTAGCCTCTAGAACCATACCTGGCATAGAGTAGGTGCACAGAAGTCTTTGAATCATGAAGAAAATACACAACAAACTGCTTGGATAGACTCTGCACATTTTTTCCAACTGGACCATTAGCGCTTATATGAACACTGACCACCTTGGTCTCTTCGTTTTGTTTCACTGTGGGTTTTTGGTTATCCTGTGAGAAAGTTAAGATGGACTTGGATCTCCTCCTCCAGCCTCCATCCACTGCCCTCCCCCCCCTCCTGGAGCCAGCCCGAATCTGCTTTATGGCCCCCGTGTCCACTCACCAAACCACAACCAGAGGGCTTGCTAACCCCCTGACCTTAATCCCAGCATAAAGCACTTAGGGGCTCCCTAGACTCTGAGGATACAAAACCCCCCAGGTGGCATACCATAGCTCTTGAGAGGTGGTCTCCTGGCAGAGACTTTAATCCCAAGTAGCCAGTATCCTCTTCTTCCTTTCAGGGAGAGAAGGCCCAAGTTTAGCAAGACTCAACAGTCCACACCTCTCTGCCTCTCAGGCAGGTAGGCGTGGCCCTGCTTTCTGCCCAGGAGGATGTGAACGTGCAACTTGAGTCACACCATAAAAGGCCACTGTTTGCGCACTACTCCCTCCTGTCCTTTCCCCCTCTGCCACCAGCTGGTGATGTAGCTGTGGGGGTGAGAGGTCAGCTTTGGTCATGTGGGAAGAGAACACCTCCTTAAAGCAACAAACGCCAAGGAACCTGGGTCCCTGGGTGACTTGGAGAAGCACAGCCCCCGTTTCCCCAGACCCCTAACTGGGCTGTTGTGGGAAAGAAAGAAACCTGCCTTGCTTCTGTCACTGGTCTGTGAACAAAGCCAAGCCACCAACCTAACAAATGGGCCTCACCTAAACTCTGCATTCTCTCTCCCTCCCCTCCCCGCTCCATGACTGTTGGGCTCCAGCCTAAGTGAATCATTCACTCTCAAGTCTCCCCTCCGACAGAACTGCCAGACTTCTTCTGGCCCATGTGGTGACTCAGCTGTCACCTCCTGTATGATGGGTCTCCAACATCTGCAGGCACAGCAGGGAGGGCACTCACCCTCTCAGCGTGCTGCTAGGGCACTTACACAAACCACACAGCTGGCCTCTTGGGATTCCACGTCAGTGCATGCCGGCGAAGGAGCCCCATCGGTCCTGTCTAGGTATCCACCTTCCACAGGTGGATTTTGTGGCCTACACGGGGGCTGCTACACAGTCAGGTGTTGGTGGACATCGGAATGAAGATTTCTTGGTTGCTACACACTGAGCTCATAGGTGACTAAAGTCTGGAAGACTTTTTTAGCAAGTGCTCTCGTGAAGCCATATCTAACCGCCCTGGTATTTATGCATTTGGTCTTTAAGATCCAAAATATACACAACCCTCATATGTTGAGGAGATGCATGCTCAGGGACCTGTGTGGGCAGTTTGGGCAATGTCTGATGTCATCTGGGCACACTTTCCAGAGGACCCAGGCCCTAGCTACAAATCACACAAAGGAGAGGAGATTTATGGATTCAGGAGGAAGGTGTCTAATCATGCTCTTTTTCAAAATATTTCTGGTCTGTGTCTATTAATATTTATGACTGTTCTGCCATGACTGTTTCGACGTGGGCATGTGTCACAAGGAAAGCCATGGGACTTGAATGTGCCCGTGTCCTTTAACGGTGGGGCAGGCCACACCACCCTCCGTGTTCACTGGCAACTTGAAGTGGTGCTGGGGCCAGCCCTCTCTCCTCTGCCGCAGCTCCTCCAGGCCCTGGATCCCATCCGCTGGGACACCTGAACTCCTCCCTCTCATCGGGTTACACACCCAGATATGTGGACCCTACTTCTGAATGACTTCCCAGAACTACGCTAACCTCACGCTGCCTGCCTTCACTTGCCCATGTTGCTCAACCTCCAAACCTCCTGTCTTGCCCCTTTGCAGCGTCGTCCACCCAGAGCCCAGCGGCCTCTCCAGAAAGCAGATCTGTCTCCTGGCACACCCTGTGACTTGTCCTCTCCCTGCCCCACCCCACGCCGCCTTGGAAAGGATGGCAGGCCCCACGTCCTGTGTGTGAGGACATCTGTGGCCAGCCTGGGTGGCACCTGTCCCCCTTGCCATGCCCAGTCACTCTCTGCTGTTCCCTCTCCAGCAACTTTGTCTTTGGACGGACGTTCTTTCTCCTGCAAGGGCCAAGCCTATTTGTCCTTGAGGACCCTGCTCACACTCGTCTCCTCCAGGAAACTGCCTGTGTAGCCCTCCGCCCACTCACCCTGGGTGAGGCCCTTCCCCTTGGCTCAGCGGTTCCCGCAGCACCGAAGGCACATCGCAGTTGCTGCACGCGCTACACTGCTTTATCAGTATAAGGCACTGTCCAGCCTCTTCCACTAGATGGGAAGTGGCTGCAGGGCAGGAGCCCTGCCTTTCATCTTGGCAGGTCCAGGACCCAGCCTTCCCCACAACACTGCCCCTCAGGCTCTAAACCCGGCAAGGTGACATGCATTGCAGTGGGACAGCACAGACTTATCAGGCGGGCTCCCACACCTGGGAAAGCTAGACGAACCAGCAGCCTCCTTTCAGTCCCCAGTGACTTGAAAACGTTGGTTCTTTGGGGAGGAAATGCATATGAAAAATCCCCTGGTCTAGAATGCAGTTCTTGCTTGCACCCATTTCATAATATCAGTAGGGAGCACAGATGATAAACCTACAGTTTAGAATCACACAGATCTGAGTTCCAACTCCACTTGGGAGACTGTGGGGGGCATCACCGAGCTTCTCGGAGCCTTAGTTTCCTCATCTGTAATAACAGTGGCACCTCAGACACGGTTGTTGGAAGAACTAAATGAGGAATCCTATGTCATGGTCTTGGGACGCAAAATGATTTCTATGTACACAAGGACGTGCACCACTGTTATTTTTGAGAGCAAATGCCTGACGGAACTTAATGACTTACGGCAAAAATCAAAAACCTATACACAAGGTACAGATCTCAAATGGGATCCTAAAATACCGGGTTAAGAAAAGATTTATTCTTAAATGTTCCTACACTGCAAGGAAGGGCGACGAGAGAGTGCTGTATTTTTTTCAATCAATCAGCAGTAGACTCACACAGCCCCTGCCTTCCACCACAGTCCCATTCACAGGGGGGTGGCCGTGAGGCTGTCAGGGCACTTCCCTGCTAAGCCCTTTACCACAGCTATCTTTGCTCTTAACACAGTAAACATGCTCCTTCTGCCAGCAGTCAGTTAGTGTATGCTGTTTTTTAATTAATGTTTTTCAGCTACTCACTAACTAAGCATGCACTTCACAGACCTCCTGGCCTGGGCTTTCCCTCCAGATAACATTCTGTTAATGTTTAATATATAAAATATGAGCCTTTAGTCACTGACTCCTGAATTTCAAACCTAAAAGAAGGGAAACCATCGGGTTCCGTGTCAGAAGCATCATTCGGGGATGTGTCCCAAAGCCTCCTTCTGGTCTCTACACCATCTTGGTTCTACGTTACTGTCCCCAAGTCTGCTATACAATTAATACCCATAACTACAGAGCAACTTGTGTGTGTTCCAGAACGCATGGACCAGCACACCCCCCCCAAAAAAAACTCTGCCAGAAGCGGGTTTCTAATAGGCAACAGGACTTTCCTCTGTTGGACTGGGAAAAATGTGGCGATTGGAGGTACAGTCCTGACGATACTGACTATACATTTCAGGTTCTAGACATATCTGAACACAAGTGAGTGTGATGTGATGGTTAATTTTATGAGTCAACTTGACTGGGCCATGGGGTACCCTAAATGTTTTGTCAAATGGTAGTCTGGGCTTTTCTGCAAGGGTGTTTTCGGATGAGATTAACATCTTAACTAGCAAAGCGGATTGCTCTTTGTAATGCGGGTGGGCTTCATCCAATCAGTTGAAGGCCTGAATAGAAGGAAAGATCGATTCTTCTCTGAGTGAGAGAGAACTCCAGCAGACTATCTTTCGTCTTATTCTGCAACATTGGCTCTTCTTGCCTATGGCTTTTGGGCTGGCTCACTGGCTCTCCCTGGGTCTTCAGCCTGCCAGCCCACCCTGCAAACTGGACTTGCTGGCCTCTAGTTGGTTGTTTCTCTGGAGAATCCTAATACACAGGACAATCAATAAAGCCCACAAAGTGAATTCCATGTGGCTCTCCTGTGGCATGCGGGTCAGCAGTTAACATCTGCTAATAACTCACAAATGAACCTAATCACGGGAACGAGGAGGAGCTGGTGAAAGCAGAGGTGGGCCATGGATGCCGGGCTCTCAGGCATCACAAGCCAGCGAGTCTTAAAGCTCTCCAGCGTCACCGCCTCCCTCTTCAGCTTCATGGGCGTTTCCTCCAACTTGCTATCTCTACTTTTTAAAGTCCGGTCACCACCCCCCTCCCAATGTCCTCCTGATGCCCCGGTACTCCTCTGAACCAGCCCCACTGGGCGCCTGGCCACCTCGTGTGACACATCCTGAGGATAACCTTCCCCCACACCTCAGCTGCCTTTTGTGTCACCTGACCCTCTCCACCTCAGACCATTCCTTACAAGAGGCACATCCCAGATCGCAGGCTGGGCCCCGCCAGCAGGGGCCGCTCCCTGGATCCCACCTCCTACAGCTTGGTGGCCGCACCATTATCCTGTTGAGGGCTCACCCCGCCCTGGCACCACTCCAAGCAGTTCACGCGTACCAACTAGCGAACCCTCAAAAGAACTCTGACGTAGTGATAATTAAGTTGAAGATGAGGAAACCAAGGCACAAAGAAATGAGGAAAGTTGCCATGGTCACAGCTGTAAGTGCAGGAAAAGGGATTGCGCGGCAGGTGCTCCAAATCTTCCGTCGCTGACCAGAGCCAACCCCCCCCCCAGGGACTCCTGAATCCCTATCAGGTGTGGGGTTCCCAAGCAGTGGAACGCACCCAGCTGCCTGCGCCAGAAACCCCTAGGCTCTTCACAACTAGGTGTCCTTCACCTCACAATTCACAGCCAAGGCCTCCCACAACACCGTCACTGAGACTCACGTTGGTCAGTTTGAGCACAATAATCCCTGCAACCCCACCGTCCACTGAGGGTCTCCTCAAGCCCCCCAAACTTTGCCCACCCACTGGCCTGACCCTCCTCTTCCAACTTCAGCTTCAGCCAACGTGCTACGTGCTTGCCGTTCCTGCGTGCCGCCTTGGCTTTCTCCCCTCAGGGAGTCCATCTTCTCTCTCTGCCCTGACACCCTCACCTTTCCCGAGCCTGTCACCCAACTTCTCTAGGGAATCCCACTTTTCCTTTTAAAATCACAAGTGCAGGTATGACTTCTTCCAGGAAATTGTCCCCCATCTTCCAGGGCCTGGGAAGACGGCCACCACAGCCATCCCGCATGCTATTGTGATCACTGGCTAAGCCACTCGTTGTCCCAGGAGGCCTGGGGTGGGGGGCTCCAATGCCCACTGCATGCTGAGTGCACCACCCAGGTAGCCCAGGCACTGCCGGGATAGTGGACGCAGAGATCCTGAA